AAAATCTTCCTGGATGGAAGAGAAACGTCTTTAAACTTGGAAACCAAGTCCAGTGGATTGATTTTTCACATTTTTTTTGGAATGACAGAGAAACTTCACTACCAAAAAAAACAAACAAAAAAACCCCACAAAATCAACTAAAATCCCTTTGAGAGAGAGAGATTCATTCAATCTTTGATTTAATAATTTTACCATCTTTCAAAATAAAAGAAGCTGTTATTTTACCAACCCAACTGACCTGAAGGGACCTGAAGGCTCCATCTCTCCGTTTTTAGTTGAAATCAACAATGAAAAAAACAAAACAAAATAAAACATCTTGTTTCCTAAATTTGATCGACGTAATGTAAAGAAAGCATTCTTATTTCCTTTTTTTTAAATTAAGGTTTTTATGTAGTTTTTAACGTTCTTATAAAGATAAAAAAGCCTCAAAAAGCGTTGAGAATCTCACTAAGTATATTTCATTTCTAATATCCTTCCTGCTGCTTGATCTTCCAAACATTTTTTATTTATTTTTATTCTTTTCTAATCCGTCTTTTCCTTGACATTTCAATGGTTGAAGTCTGAGCTTTTCTTTATAGCATCAAACTCAAACAGGTTTAAGTCACACGTCCAGGATTTAACGGTTCTCCTCTGTCTTTGGGTAAACGCGGTTTTGGTTATTTAGGTCATTCAGGTTTCAACAAATATCAGCTCCAAACTGAGGAAACTAGAGGAAATTCCTGCAAAATGTTTCCCATCCAGATATTTATCATGAATAGATTTTCTCTCCTTTTATCTGAGGCGACCAGGTTGTAGTTTTTCCTCATGCTTCTGGAGGTTGCAGCAATATTACTGCTTCCTCTTCTCCAGGAAGGTTTAGGGTTTGAATCCCAGCTCAGCATCTGTCTCCATGGAGACTCTGTGGGGCAAGCAGCACCCAGCAGCACCCAGGCTGAGGAGCCAAAACACTGACATCCTCTACTAGAGTGCCCTCTACTGGTCAAAGGCTGCAAAGACCCGATCAGTCAGGAATTGTTCTCAATGTTGCTGAAGATAGGAAGCATTATTTCAGAAAAACTTTTCATGTAGCCTTTTTTTCTGCTCACTACTTTCTCTTTACAGTTGGCATCATACTAAACGTTTCAAACCCAGGAGGATATTTGATGCTCTATAACTTTTCCAATACCAAATGAATCATTAAAATTATTCACGGCATAAAAACTAATTTTTGTTAACATGATGTTTAGTCTCAAAGTGGAACATGCTTTCTGATTGGAACGACAGAAGTTACTGAAATGAGTAAAAAAAGAAATGTGAAGAATTATAAGATAATTGGTCTGTAGAAAATAATACTTGGTATTACTGTTTGAAATAAATCTAAAATCAGCAAAATATGCAAAAACATTTGCTTTTGGTATCTATACCATGACCAGGGCTACAACTATCGATTATTTTGCAAATTGATTCATATTTCGATTATTTTCCGATTAATCATCAAATAGCCAAAGAAGAGTTTTTATGGATTTAACCCAGTTTAAACTAAAAGTTTTTCACTTGAGGATTTCTGGCTAGAGCAGATTGACAGAAGAAAAAGATTTGTTCTCTTAAATGCAGAATATTTATATATATTATTTATAATATTTGGTATGATTCCTGCTCTAAGTGAGTTTCTGCTAAAGGCATCCTTCACAGCAGAGGTCACGGATTAGCGGACCCAACCTGATTTAAAATATTTATAATTTACTGCATCTTGTCTGACGACAGTGTCTAACTTCACTTGCTCCTCTTCTCCTGTTAATACGGTAAAGCCCTGGGGAGCGTCCGGCTCCAGGCTGCACGTGATCCAAATGAGCCAATGAGCTGTCAGT